GATGATCTCCTGGAGTCATGATTTGGTCCTGGATGATCCAGAGAACGTCTTGATCTCATGGATGATCTCCTGGAGTCATGATTTAGATCTGGATGATCCAGAGAACGTCTTGAACTCATGGGTGATCTCCTGGAGTCATGATTTGGATCTGGATGATCCAGAGAACGTCTTGATCTCATGGATGATCTCCTGGAGTCATGATTTGGTTCTGGATGATCCAGAGAACGTTTTTTCCTCGCTGACTGCTGTGGGAGCCGGTATGTTACCTTATTAAACAGAAAAAATGCAAGATTTATTAATAAATGGGCGGCTACGAATAAATTTATTGAATAAAGAGCTTTTTAAAATATTTTTATTTCATTCTGTTATTTCATATATATTTTCCTTATTGTTATTGTAGTTATTAGTAGAAACGTGACGTGATGTGTCTTGTCTAAGGAAATTATCTTCCGCGCGTTGTTATTGTGTCATAAAGGCTCTCAATTCCGTACCGCGACCGTGTGTCGTTTGACAGTCGAATAAAACCAATCTGCTCTTGGCCAGCCTCGAGCAGCCACCTATGCAGACATTCTTATGGTCGTCACGCAACGCTTTTCTCCCAAAAAAAGTTGCTTGCCATCCGGTTACCTCAGTTGCTAAGAGCGACGGTCTGTTGTGCTGGAGGTCGTGGTTTCAAGAAATAACTGAGGAGAAGGTGCTGCCTTTATAATAACATCTTCAAATGGTTAGACCTTCAAGTGGCTAGGCAATATATATAATATCGGAGGGACGTAAAAGAACCACTGAGGACGTCAAGGAACCTTCATACTCACAACCTCTTCTTCACAACCTATCGTAAAGCGCCTTTGAACATATGCATAAGGAAAAGAGCGCTATATAAATAGATATCATTATCGTTGACTTTGCGTAACAGTCTTAAGTACGTCTGCATATATACATAGGAAGCTATAGACTGAATAATTGGAGTCTACAATATAGTTTATATAAAATTAAAAATTAAAAATTTTTATTTAAGTCTAGTCGTTCTATTGCTTTCGCACTAATTGGGGACTTTTCGCTCACACGCACTACCACTTTATTCAATATTCTGTGCACACGACGCTCAGCTCACATGTTGATTTTGACGGAGAGAGGAAACCAGAGAACCCGGAGAAAACCCTCGTAGCATAGGAGAGAACAACACATCAAACAAACTCAATTCACATGTGGCGATCTCAGGTCTCAAACCAGAGACCCGACCCGTTGGACTCACAGCGGTGAAAAACGACTCGTTAGCCGTGAACGCCACCCATGCTACCCATATACTTACCACGTACTCGTCCACCGAACCACCCTGGATCAGCAGTTCATCCCAGGTCAGTGTCACGCTGTACGGAGTAACACTAACAACTCTAAAATTCTTTGGAGCTTCTCTCGGAGGATTTTGTCCTGAATACGCCGTAACTACTGAACTATTCGGACCCATTCCGATCTCGTTTTGCACTTGTATTTTGATGTTAATAAGCTGGTAGTTTCCTAGTTTATCTACGTCAATTGTGGTTGAAGAACATAAGGTGTTTTTTGGTGATAATGTCCATCTAGATATGTTGTGGAGTTTGTGGTAAACTCGGATAACGCACTTATTACCATTCCACTGGATCTTGGGAAAGGACTGAGAGACAAGCAAAATTAGTGACCCCGTGACATGATGTTGACACGTGACATGTTGGTAACGTAACATTATGGTATCACGTGATAAAATAGTAACACTTAGTATGATGTTGACACGTGAAATGAGGTTAACAAGGGATATTTTGGTGACGTAGCATGATGGTGCCACACGATAAAATAGTAACACTTGGTATGATAGCGACACTTGGTATGATAGTGACATCGTGACATTCCTGTGACTTGATGGTGTCACGTGATATAATTGTAACACTTGACGATCACGATTTACGTACCTTCCAAGTAACATTTATTCCACCGCTTATCTTCAATGGAACAGCCTTTAAGCCTTCGGGAATACTAGTTGGTCCTACGAGAAGAAATAAGAAATTTATCAAAAAATGTTGAGTTTCCGCCATATAGCAACCTTAGATTCCTGGTTTCTAGATTTTTGATCTAGATTTCTGATCTAGTGTAGATACCGTAAATAGGACACGACACGCACGGTACCTTTTCCATGCTTTCCCCCCTACCAAACAATCTCTAATCAGGATAAGGTATATAATAATATATAATAATGACAATGTAATATATAAACCTACTTCACTTATTTTCATATTTCTGTGTATCATTTCGTTGTTTATCGGTGAAAAAACACATGTACATGAATATGGATGTGGCACAAACGAAGAGTCTTATTCTGACTCTGAAGATGACTTCCGCTCAGGTTGTCGAAACGTCAGTCCCATCAACCAGTCCTTCTCAGGATTACATCCACCCGGATGATCATAATACTTCGATAAACAATCTTACTCTGATCAAGGAAAAGACACGTGGTCTCAAAGGGGATAACACATTTTACGTACAAGGTAAAGAGATCTGCTTGACTTACTGGAGGATAAAGTTATACACGGGTTGGACAGCCTGCTCGGTAAACTATTTCCAAGACTATTGATAGCCTTCATTCTGAACAAGATATTTGCCCATGGACTTAGTTCCTCTATTCCCACTCGTCTTGCATTCGGGTCTTTCACTTCCTTGACTTGTTTGAATACATTCGGTTCATAGGTGTTTCCTATTTCAATGATGAAT